TGACTAGATTTGGATTTGGGTTTGACTGGGTTTGACTAGATTTGGATTTGGGTTTGACTGGATTTGACTTAGATTTGACTGGATTTGACTGGATTTGACTGGATTTGACTTAGGTTTGACTAGATTTGACATAGACTTCACTGGATTTGACTAGATTTGACTGGATTTGACTTAGGTTTGACTGGATTTGACCTAGATTTGACTGGATTTGACTTAGGTTTGACTGGATTTGACTTAGATTTGACTAGATTTGACATAGACTTCACTGGATTTGACTAGATTTGACTAGATTTGACTTAGATTTGCCTGGATTTGACCTAGATTTGCCTGGATTTGACCTAGATTTGACTGGATTTGACTTAGGTGTGACTGAATTTGACTTAGGTTTGACTAGATTTGACATAAACTTCACTGGATTTGACTAGATTTGACTGAATTTGACTTAGATTTGCCTGGATTTGACTGGATTTGACTTAGGTTTGACTGGATTTGACTTAGATTTGACTAGATTTGACATAGACTTCACTGGATTTGACTAGATTTGACTAGATTTGACTTAGATTTGCCTGGATTTGACTGGATTTGACTTAGGTTTGACTGGATTTGACTTAGATTTCACTGGATTTGACTTAGTTTTGACCGGATTTGACATAGATTTCACTGGATTTGACTAGATTTGACTGGATTTGACTTAGGTTTGACTGGATTTCATATAGATTTGACTGGATTTGACATAGATTTGGCTGAATTTCACTTAGATTTAACTAGGGATGGGAGGTTACCGTTCCCAGACCGTTACCCGGTAAAGGTAACGGTAACGGTTTCTATAGAAAAAGTTAGCAGTTCCCGAGTAACTGATAACGGGGCAGTTACCAGTTACCTAAGAACTGGTAACTTTTTCGATAGAAATCGTTAGCGTTACGGTTCTCTGGGAACGGGAATAAGGCTACGCTTGGGTCGTGGAGGCCTACTATGGGGGGGGGGGGTACTCTTTAGTCCTCAATGCCTACTATTTCGGGGTACTCTTGGGTCCGCAAGAACTAGTATTGCCGCGCACCATTGCGACTTCAAGCACAAAATCGCCGTTTAATTGGTTCGAAAATGGGCTTATCATATTTCAGGAAGTGTTTTCTTCCTTATTCTAAGGAAAACACCAGCGATGTTCGCGTCGATTATAGGATTACCGGGGATGCTCTATCGATGGAGGACTATATGTAAAGGTCTCCAACCGTCCGAACACAGAGCAATATAATCATGTGATCTGATTGGTTTATTTTTCGACTAATCAGTTTTGAGGAGATTTTTTCTCTACCATTGTTGGAAGAATCCAAGGGCATGTCTCGAGAACCATAGGGTTAATGAGGATGCTCTATTGGTTGATGGGTACATGTATGGGTCACGACCCAGTACATCGCGGCGAAACACAGCCTTGGCATTTGTCCTTGAGTACCCAAGGGTACCACCTCGTAGTAGGCGTTAAGGACCCATGGGTGCTCCCTTGTAGAAGGCCTTCAGCAACCAAGGGTACTTCCTGTAGTAGGTCCGAGGAAACAAGAGAACCCTGTTTTGTAGCCCCCGACAACTTAAGGTAGTCCATATTATGTGCCCGTGACCCCGTTACCTGGGAATCGGTAACAGGCCGCTACTGTTCCGGGGTAACGGCTCCCAGAACCGTTACCAGCTACCCGGGAACTGGTAACGGATTCATTACCTAGGAACGGTAGCGGAAACTTGCCACTCTTAAATTTGACTAGATTTCACTGGATTTGACTGAAAATTAGAATTTTCTGATATTTTTCCGGTTAGATCTTGCCAAGTCCAACTCAGTTTCAGATCTGCCACTTATTCTATCGAAAAAGTAACGAAATAATTGAAAAATACGTTCTAAACTGAATACAAATAAGAAGAAAAATACATCCTACATTGACAACTCTCCATAAAGGGTATCCTTTGTAAACGAGGAAAAGTCAATCCCTGTCAATTTCTTGATTTTTTGATCAAATGTTTTATATACTTTTATTATGGAGAGTTGTCAGTGCGGGATCCATTTTTCTTCTTATTATTACTTAGTTCTGAACGAATTTTTCAACTTTATCGTTACTTTTTCGATAGAATAAGTGGCAGATCTTAAATTGAGTTGGATTTGGCAAGATCTCACCGGAAAAATATCAGAAAATTCTAATTTTCAGTCAAATTCACCTCACATCCGAAACCTTTTAAAAATCTTTCATAACTTCCAACTGCAGTTGCCGATAATACCTGAAAGGCTGAGTATGGCTGGTACATTAAATTCACAGACAAAAACGTTCTTTATGATGAGAAAATGTCTCCTTTCAAAACATGTAATTGGATTTAGTCAGTTCCTAATCACCACCCAGGAAGCTGAATCAGTGTGCAATCAGCTTTTTAAAAATTTGACCTTTCATTTTCTGGAACAGAATCAACTCATTTGAGACAATATGGATACACCGTAAACGTTTATGGACGTAAATCCAGATCGGGGCATTCGGATCCGTAATGGAGAACACGATTGAAGACCAGAACTAGGAGTTACTTTCTTAAAGTTTTGCTGGATATCCAATTTCGGTCAAAAGGTTCACCCGTGACACAAAAACATGAAACTCAAAATCTTGCGGATACTATTTTATAGACAGGCTAGCATTCCTTGATCCTAATCGTTTTTCTTCGCGCTTCACTTATCGAATCCACGTCAACCAAATTATAGCTGATCAAGTCCTAACCTAATTGAGGCCAAATCGAGTCAAATCTAGATGACGCTAGTTAAATCCATTATATTCTGACTGAATAGTGTGAAATCCAGATCAAACCTGGTGAAGTTCAGTAAAATCTGATTCAAACGTATAAAATCTAGGTCAAGTCAGATGAATTGCAGGCTGATCATAGTGACATCCAGGTAAGCCAAGGCAAGTCTATCCAGGTCCTGATCAAATCTTGGTCAAACCTTGTAAAGTCCAGTTCACTATGATTCCAATCTGCTTAAATTCAATAAAAACCTAGTCAATTCTAGTCATATCATAATTCAATTCAAACAGATGTAGTAAGATCTTCGTAAAATTAAGTCAAAATAGGCACAATATAGTCGAGTCCAGATTACACCTGTTCAAGCCCTGTCAGACCCTAGTCAAATCATAATTCAATTCAAACAGATGTAGTAAGATCTTCGTAAAATTAAGTCAAAATAGGCACAATATAGTCGAGTCCAGATTACACCTGTTCAAGCCCTGTCAGACCCTAGTCAAATCTATGTAAAATCTAGTCAAACCGAAGTCAAATCCAGTCAAGTCCAGTCAAGTCCAGTCAAATCTATGTCAAATCCACTCAAATCCGGTCACATCCACTCAAATCTATGTCAAATCCAGTGAAATCTAAGTTGAATCGAGTCAAATCTATGTCAAATACAGTCAAATCTAAGTCAAATACAGTCAAATCCAGTGAAATCTAAGTGAAAACCAGTCAAATCTAGTCTAACCTAAGTCAAATCCAGTCAAACCTAAGTCAAATCCAGTGAAACCTAAGTCAAATCTAGTCAAATCTATGTCAAATCCAGTCAAACCTAAGTCAAATCCAGTCAAATCCAGTGAAATCTAAGTCAAATCCAGTCAAATCTATGTCAAATCCAGTCAAATCCAGTCAAATCTAAGTCAAATCCAGTCAAACCCAAATCCAAATCTAGTCAAACCCAGTCAAACCCAAATCCAAATCTAGTCAAATCCAGTCAAACCCAAATCCAAATCTAGTCAAACCCAGTCAAACCCAAATCCAAATCTAGTCAAACACAGTCAAACCCAAATCCAAATCTAGTCAAACCCAGTCAAACCCAAATCCAAATCTAGTCAAACACAGTCAAACCCAAATCCAAATCTAGTCAAATCCAGTCAAACCCAAATCCAAATCTAGTCAAACACAGTCAAACCCAAATCCAAATCTAGTCAAACCCAGTCAAACCCAGGATTTGGGTTTGACTAGATTTGGATTTGGTGCACCCCTAGCAGTGAGAAAGGATTTTTAAACGCTTTGATGATAGGGATGCAAGTCATTTCGAGGTTTACAATCTGTGCCCACAGTTTATGGTGGTTTTTTCCAAATTTTGTTTTCGTGAGAAAAAGAGGAAAGACATGACTCAATTGATATATGTATGCCTAGCATGTATATATCACCTGTAGAAAGACAATCGGTCTTGTAAAGGTCTTGGATAGATAGTTGATTATCGAACTCCTTTGTTGGTTTCGGAGTGAAAGGGAAGATTTATATGTATAGTTTGAGGGTTATCTTTTATTATCGTTTTTTGATTGGCTCTGTTTTATTTATTTTTTATAATTATAAAAAAAAGTGTTTTTTTGTTTTCATTTTGGTTGATGTTTCGCTTTCGTTGCTCTTGTTTTCTTTGTTCTTTTGATGCGTTGATTTGTGTTTGGGACGTAGATGTCGGATATCTATGAAACAGAATTCAAATGAAATCATCTAATATGCGGAAATTACTTCTACTTACGTCTGATATACTGTCATCGGATATTGGTTCTGCTTTTCGAAGTATTTCTTCAGCTATTTGATGTCTATATAAATTGATCTCATCTTGTGGAATAGGTTGATGTTGTTCACGATTAATGTAAGCTTTAGCTTGTGTTAAAAGATAGACGCCACATGAATGTTGATCGTTTTGATGTAAGTGGAAATCTTCACTTGGTTCGGATAGTTTCCAAGCACTTTGAAAATCTATATCAGTACGATTTTTTAAAAAATTATGAATGTTTATCATATGTATGAGACGTTGTAGGTTTTGTCGACGTGGAAGATCATGTGTAGGTGATGAGTCATATTGAATTATTAAATTTCGTTCCAGATCAATTATTACTAAATACCAATGATGTTTTTGATTGATCGGACAGAGAATAATATCGTAATCAAACCATGATTTTTTAATGTGTTTTATTTTCTTCTGAATTATTTCAGATACTGTATGGGTTTCCATCGCTAAAGCTCTTTTGTGAAATGTTGCTGTAGTTGCAGTAATAAATAAATGAGCATCTATAATCAAATCATTAATATCACCGTCATTATCCAGCAATAGTTTGATATCATCTTTTTTTATTTTTATAGGACCGACTCTTAAAATGTCAGTAAATGTTGGTAAAAGATCTTGCACAGTATCGATTGTCCATATATCTGGTTTCACACTTTCTGCTAAAGTACTTTGATCAAAAGTTATTTTATCGATCAATGGTGGATAGAAGACATTTTCATCAGTTTCATAAACGAATGTTATCCAACGTGATGCTAGACCTGTTTTATATGCTGATACATTGCGCAATTCTTCAAATTGACCAGTAGTTTTATTCAAAGATGAATAACCATTGGTAGTCTTTCTTAAATAAACTATTTAATCTTCTTCAAGTACG